CCCCTTGCAGCAGGCAGGCAGCGTGTGCCTCGTGGCGTGGCGGCACCGCCAACTCGCTGCTGCTTGTGGCTCATTGCGCCAGCTGGAAGTGATGAGAGATCGGGGGGCGGGCTGAGCAGGCAGGAGGGAGCAGGCCAGCCGGGTGGGGGTACCGCTAGCCCAGGCTGAGCATTTGAGTGTCTCCCCCTCAGAGTACAAGCTGTGCTGGCTGCTGCTAGGTAGGCAGGGCGCTCGTTCTCCTTACGGGCCCTATGCACTCAGCGGGGGCCTGTGTCCCTCCCCTCCAACCTGCACGTCGGTCTCCAGCTGGATTTTGATGGCGGTGTACTCCTCGGAATCCTGCACCCGCAGCTGATCCAGCTGCTTCTCGTACTCCTCCACCTTCTTCATGCGCGTCACCAGGTTCTCCAGCTGCGGGCAGGAGACCAGGGGTGGGTCAGGTGGCCACAGAGAACCCCCCTGCTCGGCTCGGCCCTCACAGGCCCAGCTGCCTTGGCCGTTCTGAAGCAAAGATGGGCAGGGATCGCAGCGGCCCAGTGGGGACAAGGTACCCCTAGGCCAGGGCTGGGGAACCCTTTTGGGGTCGGGGGGCCATTGGCCCACAGAAAACCAGGCGGGGGCTGCACACAAAACCCCCTCACTGGCGCGGCGCCCGGCTGAGAAGGAGAAAGATGCTCCCCCCAGTCTCCTCCCACCCCAGAGCCTGGGGGGCCAGGCTAGTCAATTGTGTGTGCTCCGGCCCCGTGGCGAGGCAGCAGGGGGACTGGAGCACCCGTGCAGGCTCCCCAGTGCAGGAGGGGGTGGGATCCAGGCAAGCTGGGGGCTGTATCCGGTCCCCGGGCCTGAAGTTCTCGATCCTGCCCCAGGTGATATTTCCCTAAGCCAGGCTCGAGTGACCCACCCTGTGCCCAGCACCAAGCAGACTCTGTCCCCTGGACCCTCTGCCTTCCCTTGCACAGTGCAGATGGGGCCTGTCGCGGGTGTGGGTGCGACTGTGGGACAGAGCCAGACACAAGCTCTGGTCCCTGCCTGCCTGCCCACCGGCTCGCCCGGGGCGCCGGGCACACCTTCCCTTCCA